TATAGACCTCACAAAACCTTCAGCATCTGGCCCCTGGAAGTTGACAGAACATGTCTGGTTGGTCATGGCTGAGCATGGAGGGTGGGGTATGTGGGCAATACTGATGCAGGCCGTGAGGCATGTGTTGCCTTTTAAGAATTGAACATCAGTAGTAAAACCGAGTAAAAGTTACTCTGCTTTTTATTATCAGCAAGTGCTGGCTTTTTTTTTTTTTTTTTTTTTTTTTTTTAGTGGTATTGGGTTTGAACTCAGAGCTTCATGCTTGCTCGGCAGGCACTATACAAGGTGAGCCATACCCCTGGCTCTTTTTGCTTTAGCTATTTTTCATGTAGGAACATGCACTTTTACTTGGGGCTGACTTCAGTCCTATATCCTCCTATCTTCAGCTTCTGCATAGCTGTGATTATAGAAATGAACCAACACACCCAGCTTATTTGATGAAATGGGGTCTCACTAACTTTTTGCCTAAGCTGGGCTTATATTTCTCCTATTTCTGCCTTGCAAGTGCCTGGGATTACAGGTGTGAGTTACCACATCCAGTGATAAAAATACCCCTCCATGAAGCTGGGGATGTAGTTCAGCACTAATACAAGGATTCTGTTCCCAGAACTGTAAAACACATAAACAAGCAAAGTGCTCATCAGGGGTAGGCCCTCTTCTTACTGCTTGGTACACCACACAGGTTAGTCAACTGAAGTCTCCCTGATGCTGGGGCCAGTAGACTTGTGTTTGTGGCCCAGCTCTGCTACCTGCTCTAAGCCTCAGTGCTCTTATCTGTAAAATGGAAGGGTGCCTGAAGATATTAAAGGAGAGTGAATAAAGAGGATAGCTGGATATAAATGTCAAAATGTCCACATAGGCTGGATATGTAGCTCAAGTGGTAGAACACCTGCCTAGAAAGTGAAATAGGCCCTGAGTTCAAACCCCAATACCACAAAAAACAAAACAACAAGAATTGCTATGTGAATCTATCCCATGGTGTGATATTTGGGTCATTTCCAGGAAGCTTCCTCTTGGCAGTGAGGAATTTGAGGAGGATTGAGCCAGGCTCTTCCAGGCAACTTAGGAGGTAGAGTTGTGGCATTTCTAGGCACTGAGCAACTGTTCTAGATGTACTTCTTTTCCTGAGATTCCTAGGCAGACAACAGGAGGACCCTTGTGAGGTGCCACCTTAGGCCCAGCCAGGTTTTAGAGTGGGGCCACTCCCCATGGCCCCATTCTGCTCTCCTGGATGCTGAGGGCAGGGCAGGGGTAGGGAGGAAGCAGATGTGTTCCTGGCATAATTGCAAGAGAGCATGTTGGAATGGGGAAGGTAGTTTCTGGGTTTTGCAGATTTACTGTCCCTCACTAAACCCTCCTATGTGACTTTTGCAGCCAGCCTCAGGTCCTGAGTTCCCACCGCCCACGCCTCATGCCTTCTGCAGCTGGATGGTGATGTCCTTTCTTGTATGTTATCTCATGATTTCCCACCAGTCCTGGAAGGTGGGCAGGACTTGTTTTATTGTCCCCACTTGACAAGGGAGCAAACTGAGGTCCAGGAATTCAGCAGGCTTCTCAGGGCATGGCAGGTTGGTGGAGAGGCTCTGACTAGAACCCAGTTCTCCTGATACCAGACCAGAGTTGGGAATTTGGAGCACAAAGAGGAAGCTTTCATTTCTTTTCAGAGTTGTCGCACCTCTTTGGAGTCTTCTGACAGGTGGCAGAGGTAGCAAGGTGAACTGAAAAGGTAGTTCCTTGTCCAAATTGATGAAGCGTCAACAGCTGGTCAGGATCTCCAGCCTCTGGCTGCATTAGAACACTGCAGAGAAATATATTACTAAAAAGGACAGGGACTGGTAACTGTGAAAGTGGTGTGGTGGTTTCTTCATCTGCAAAACAGAGATAGTCAGAAAGCTATTGTAAGTCAGTGGTTCTCAGCCCTGACTGCCATAAGTGTCACCAGGGACTTTTTATTTTTTTTGGTATTGGAGAGTGAACGCAGGGCCTTGTGCATGCTAGGCAAACACTTAACCACTGAGCTACATCCCCAGGCCACCAGGGGACTTTTAAACAACTCCATCTCCAAGCTGCAGCCCAGAGATAGGAGATTAGAATCTCTGGACCTGAGAGCCTCACCCCATTAGTTTAAAAATCCTCCAGGGGGTTCCAATATGCTGTTGGGGTTGAAAACCACTGCTCTAGGATTAAAAGAGTTGGCTACTGACTCAGGACACAGATATTCTCACATCTGGTTGCACTCAGGAATCACGGGGAAGGGTACTTTAAAAAAAAATACTGATTCTCTGGCCATATAGTCCAGACCATTTAAACGAATGACTTCTATCTCTGGGTATCTCTTGCTCAGTCTTCCCCTAAGCCAGTTAGTTATTAGTGCTGACTGTGAGCCAACATTTCAAATATTTCCAGTCTTCACAATTACCTAGCAGAGAACTGTAACTCCCAGTTTACTGGTAAATAAGCCAATGTTCAGAGCAGGTAGCAACTTGACCCAGGTGATGGCATAAGTAAGTTCCAGTGGTCAGGCCTATTTGACCTTGAAGCCTGTTCTTGCTGCCCAAACCCCACAGCTTGGGGCCCGAGTCCAGTGGAGGGTGTTCTCTGCTCTTCCAGGAACAGTTCAAGGAAAGGGGAAACTGCCCGTGCCCCCACCCCAGACTGAGAGAAGAGACATGAGACGAGTGGTGCTGCTTGGTATTTGGCTCCATCTTAGTCATCCACTCTCAAAATACCTCCTTTTGGAGGGAGGAATATTAGGGCTGCCCCCACTCACCTCTCATTGCCATGCTGCTTTCATAAAGAGAAAATTCAAGAGGGAAGAGCAAATACTCATTTACTTTTTGAGAGTCTTAGGAATTTTTTTCAGGCATGTGGCATAGGAAATGCCTCTGACCCCTCATAAGACAAGGGGGATGCTGTGTCAAGGTGACCTCAAACTTTAACTCTACTTTATAAAATTGCTTTGCTCCCTCATAAGTCCCAATGTAGTCGAAGCAGTTTGGGACTGGGAGCTGGGGATTTGAGTGCCAAGCTCAACCCTGAACCACCACATGCTCTGCAAGCTTGAACACATGGCTTAAAATTCTTAAGTTTGAGATGGGAAAATCATGTATTGGAGGCTAGCCTGGGGTATATAGTGAGTTCAAGGCCATCCTGAACTACTTAACAAGACCCTGTCTCAAAAACCATGGGTAAGGGGATGCAGCTCAGTGGCAAATTGCCTGCCTAGCATGTGCAAGGCTCTGGGTTTTATCCTCGGCACTGCAAAGAAAAAAAAATTCTTAAGTTTTGCTTTCTCCATCAGTTAAATAGAAACTCAGGGCTGCCATGAAAAGGTTACAGGAACTCTGGAATGCCAGGTCCAGCCAGCAGCCTCTTGAGGTGTCAGAAGGAGAGGAGTGTGCTGCCCTGACGCTAAGACTCACAGCTCTCTGGTACCAGAAGCTTTGTCAAGTGTTTGCTGGCATGCACTCAGGGACCTGATGTCCCTGAGGCACAAAGTGGCTCCAAGTGACCATCTGTGTTAGAGATCTTACTGAATGTGTTCACTCTGGCTTCATTCCACCTGCGTCAGCCTCGGCTGTATGAACAGCTCAGCGCCAATATCTAAGGCCTAAATAGTGGAAACTTTAGAGTTAGTGGACAGTGTAATATAAATTTGGCTCCAGAAAGCCTTCCCTGGCCAGGCCCAGCCCCCAGGGACCTCTTCTTCCTGGAGCTTCCTGTGCATATGTTTGTGCCTTTGGTCCCTGACCCTTACTACCCTAGCCCAGGGAAGATGCTTAGATGGTGTTGAGTGAATGCAGGATGAGGGATGAAGAGATACATGAGTTTGTGTTTGGCAACACCTCTTAAGTGTTTACCATAGCATGCTATTTAAGTATTGGTCTATCTTTTCTTTGCCTGTTCAACTTGACCTTGTTATTTTTGTCATTCAGGTTATTTTGAAGACCATTTCTAATAATAGAGTGGTATAGATGCAGTGCTGTTTTCTGAGGTTGGGGAAAATAGTCAGAGTATCTCATCAAGTGTAACTTTAACCCTAGAGCCACTAAGAGAGTACATCTGAGGTCTGGAGTCCCGTGGTCCTTATTAAGTTTTTAAACTTTCTGAGTTACCCAAGCAGTGTGCATTTGGGGTGGCAAGGAAACATGCAGCAATGTGGAAGAGGAGTGGGGGAACTCTTAGGAGAGGTGGCCACTAACAGTCTCCAGGGACCTAGATTTGTCACTGCTGATGGTTGGCACTGAGGTGGAAAAGCTTCCCTTTCATGGTGGTGGACTGACTTGGGAGCACTCAGGGAAGCCAGCTCAGGCTTACCTGCCCCTCTGCGTGGACACTATTTCACGGTTGCTGTCTCAGCCCCTGGAGTGAAGGATCTCAGGCCCAGCCTGGGGTGCCAGTACCTGAAGGGCCTGAGCAGGACCTTGACTCCTGTAACTATGGGAGAGGTTTGTTGGGCAGCTGGCTTTGAGACCTCGCTTTGTCACCAACTCTGACGACATCAGGCAGGTCACTTGACAGCTCCTTGTGCCTTGGTTTCCTAATTTTACAACTCTGCTGTCATACTGCTACAGTGATTAACCTTGTCAGGTAACTTCCACCCCAAATCCCACTGCAACCAGGATTCTTACAACTCATCCTGCTTATGGATGTTGTTATTTCATCTGGTGGATTAGATTTGGGTTCTAGCTGAGGCTTTGCAAGGACAAGGCCGTATCATTCCAATCAAACCAGTACTCTCCAGGGCCTCAGAGTTCACCTCTGTACAACGGGAAAAACAATGTTAACATCTTTTCCTAGTAACAGGTAAAGGCAAAGGGACACCCAGTTCTTACACATCTCAATCACCAGTTATCATCCAAGTGGAAATGCTGGCCAGTGGCATGATTTCCTGTCCCAGGAAAAGGATTCTGAATTAGTGGCTTGGTAGTGGGCAGTGGGGGGTCATTTCCTCAATGACTACAGTGACATCCTAATCATATGCATCGGTGTTCCCACAGTGGCCAGTTTGCCATTGTGAAGAAGTGCCGGGAGAAGAGCACAGGGCTGGAATATGCAGCCAAGTTCATCAAGAAGCGACAGAGCCAAGCCAGCAGGCGGGGTGTGTGTCGGGAGGAGATTGAACGGGAGGTGAGCATCCTGCGGCAGGTGCTGCACCCCAACATCATCACGCTGCATGACGTCTATGAGAACCGCACCGATGTGGTGCTCATCCTGGAGCTGTGAGTGGGGTTCTGGGGTGGGAGGGAATCAGGGGCAGGCAGGGCAATGGAAGCTTCAGCCACAGGCCGGGGTGGGGGTGGGGTCTCAACTTCTAGACCTAAGCCCAGCCCAAAGGAAATGAAGTCAGTGGGGGGGCAGGTTCCCTCTGCCTTTGTTACCCCACATCCTCTCTCTGGAATGGGGCCAAAAAGGGGCAAGTTTACTGAGTAACAGGGGCAGAGGGTGATGGCCTAAGTCTTGCTTTCATTGGACCCTAGAGATCAAAGAAGAAACCCCCAACTCTGGGTCATTTCCTGACTGGAGGAGCATATGAGAGAGTGAGAGGGGGAAGAGGGTATAGTGGGGAGTACTGGTGGCTATCAGAGAGAACCATCCTGAAGGGGAGGAAGAACCATCCTCTGGGCTCTGCAAAGCCCTTCTGCAGCCTTCTCTGCATTTGTACCGTGTTTGACACTTATAATCACAATGATACCTGTTAGCAAACTATAAGCCAAGCATTTCCTGGGTGCATTATGTTTGTTTGTCATCTTGCTCAGTCTTTACAATGACGGTGATGAGGGAAATGTCTTACTAACTCAGTTATTTTGTATTCACTGTGCCCAGCACTCTTTTTTTTTTAGGTACTGGGACTTGAACTCGGGGCTACACCTTGAGTTTCTCCACCAGCCCTTTTTTTGTGATGGGTTTTTTTGAGATGCGGTGGGGGGGTGTCTCATGAACTGTTTGCCCAGGCTGGCTTTGAACTGTGATCCTCCTGATCTCTGCCTCCGGAGTAGCTAGGATTACAGGCATGAGCTACTTGCACCCAGCCAACACTTTTATTACCTTATTTAATCCTCATAACAAACTCAGTCAGAGACTCTTATTATCCCCATTTTACAGCCAGTACACTGAGATACCTGGTGACTTAGAAGACCTTATAGCCAGGAAATGCAAGGCCAGAACTGTAATCCTGAGCAGACAGCTATAAACCTGAGGCAGGTCCACCTTATCCTGCCTAGGTGGGGAATTTGATTGGTGGAATTTGAATAGGTGATATCAAGACTCCAGGAGTTGATTGGCCACCCTGATGTCCTCCTAGAGGTATTCCATGGAATGGGCAGGATGGGTCCCAATAGGGTTTGAGTTGGCCTATGGTACAAGTCACAGTGGCCTTATCTAGTTAAGCAGCAAGACCCCGAAAGAAGTTCTGTGCCTCATATGCATGTACGTGTGCATCTGCCAGTTAGCAGAGCAGTCATGGCATTTGGCCAACAGTCCTTGATTTTGAGACCTTGGGTAAGTCACCTCACTTTAATCCAGGTAACTTCCTTAAACTGCCTACAGCTTGAGTGGACCACCTGACATTTGAGATCATTCTAATTTGAGAAACATCTTGATGTTGACAAGATACGGATTTTAGTAGGAGATGAACATTTGCATACTCTTGCATTTGGTTCTTACATTATCCATCCCAGTATTTAAGTGCATAGAACTGGCCAAGCTCTCCCATTCTCTAGCACCCACTGTCCTCCATGTTTCGCCCATGGATCTCCCTCCAAATTAACCTAGTTGATGCCTGTGCCTGCCTGACCCAGATCCAAGCCTGATGAGGTCCACCAGGGATGGCCAGTTACATGGCCAGTCCACATGGCATGCGCCAAGGCTAAGGGCTAGCAGTTGACATCCTGATTCCCAGTAGAGAGTAACAAGCCCACTTTGCTGGGAAGGTCAGGGTCACTTCTTTAAAATACTATTATCAAATAAACAGAAAACAAAAACTTTACAGGAACTGCAACCCAAACATAACTATTCATGTTTTTCTGTGGTTCCCCTCGATCTATTTTTTCTTTCTTTCTTTTTTTTTTTTTTTTTTTGGAGGTAGTCAGGTTTGGACTCAGGGACTTGCACTTGCTAGGCAGCCATTCTACCACTTGAACCACTCTGCCAGTCCTTGCCTCAATCTTTGTTTGAATACAGTCATTATATTTATATAATTTCCTGTGTATCTTTTCCCCCAGCTAACAAAATCCTACAAACAGCCCTTTTTCTTTAAATGGCTATATCATGTTTCATTCAATTGGATACCAGTTTCCCAATTGTTGGATATTTGGTTTTTATTTTCCCCTTTTCTTTTGAATTAATTATTTCATCTAAATCTCTAGGAATGGGGGTATTAGGTCAAAGACTGACATTTATAGGCACCTAATGTCCTCACTTTCTTTTCTTTTTCTTTTTTTTTTATTGGCAGCACTGGGGTTTGTATTCAGGGTCTCACACTTGCTAGGCACGTGCTTGTACTGCTTGAGCCATTCTACCAGCCCTTTTTTGTGATGAGTTTTTTCAAGAGAGGGTCTCACAAACTATTTGCCCAGGCCTAGCTTTGAACTGAGATCCCACTGATCGGCTAGGATTACAGGCACCTGGGTATGTCCTCACTTTTCAAAGGATGGGGTTGGTTAACCAGTATCACCCATGACATAGGAGTGTTCCTATTTGCCTACACTCTTACCAGACCCAGGTCATTTGTTTTAAAACATGTTTTGCAGACTGGAGGCGTGGTTCAAGCTGTAGAATGCCTCTTTGCAATCATGAAACACTGAGTGCAAACCCCAGTCCCACTAAAAATAAAAATAAAACATACTACATTATTCATTCATTCATATAGTTACAAATTGATACTTCGTTGTTATTTTAATTGGCATTTATTTAATTGCTGGGGGAATTGGCCTGCTTCTCCCTATTTGTAGAACCACAGGAGTTGGAGTTTGGGATGGTTTTGAAATGTCCCTGTTTCTTCCATCAGGCTCATGATGGGAGAGCCCTCTTCTTGTGGGCTCAGGTGCTTTATCTATAGTATCAGCTGTCACACTGTTGCTCCTATGACTTCCTTAGGCTTCTGTGTTCTGCTGCTCACAGTTTCTATCTCTTCCTCTTTCCAAGTTGTCTCACTGCTCTCAGGATGCCTGCCTATGGAGTGCTAAGGATTTATGAGATTAGAAAAGACCAAAGTTTGCTAAGACTGTGCCTAAGTCGTGTGTGGCCAGGGGATGTGTTCACAGGCTTTTGTGCTTGGACTTGGAAACTCCTATCAGGCCACTCAGAAATTTTTGGCCTCCCCTGCTCACTGTGCTTTAATAGGGTCACGGGTTTACCTAATAGTTGAACATGGGTATTAGTTAGTGTCCACCCAGGTCTCACTGAACCTCTCGGAAACTGTTGCCTTGTGTAGTGCTTCCTCCTGCTTTCTGCTAAAGCAGCCAGTACTAGGAGGACATGCCTAGCCTGACTCAAGGTCATTTCAGCTGTCATTATCCCATCTGTGACCTCCTTTGAAGCAAATCAACTGCCTGTGGTCATGGTTGTTGAAAGCAGGGTTGGGAAGGATTTAGTTGTCCATATAAGTTTTCTTCTGTATGGTAGAAGAATATATTCAAGACCTCAGTAGAGCAAGGCACCAGTGGCTCATGCCTCTAATCCTAGCTACTCAGGAGGCAGAGATCAGGAGGATCACGGTTGGAAGCCAGCTTGGGCAAAATAGTTTGTGAGACCCTATCTTGAAAAAACCCATCACAAAAACAGGCTGGTGGAATGGCTCAAAGTGTAGGCCCTGAATTCAAACCCCAGTACCACAGAAAACAAACAAAAGCAAAACAAACGAATGAAAAAGTCAGTAAATTAATTCACAACATATGTGGGGCTTGCTATAAAAAATGTAAGTCTGCCCTGCAAGGGCTGAGCAGGCCTCCCATTGCAGCCTCAACTGTTCTGGGCCTGCTAGACTCCAAGCCTGTGGAAAGTGATACCCAGTGGTTGCATACCAGAGAATGCCCTGGCAGAGTGCTCTGGAGTGGCAGTGATGCTTCCCAGGTCTCTGAATTGAGTCCAGCTTCCTGAGCCCACAAGCTTTGACAACATCTTTCCCCCACCTCTGCCTACACAGGTCATTTTTGGACACATTCTTGGAAGAGTTCTGGAAACATTTCAGCAGGCAGACCAACTTGCACAGAGAAAGGAGGCAAAGGTCAGGTTAGAAGGAAGGAGACAATTCTGGGAAGCTCTTAGAAGAGAGGAGGCCAGGCTCCAGGTTTTACTTTTCATATTAAAGCTAAGAAGATTTGGGGTGTAAGAAGGAAGAAGCTTGGAAGGAGATGGGAAATGATTCCAGAGCAGATCTTAGAGCCGAGAACCCCTCGGTAGAAACTATGTCGACAAGCACCCAGGTGGGGCACCTGTAGTCCCAGTGGTACACCTACTATGGAGGCTGAAGCAGAAGGATGGCTTAGGCTCATGAATTCAGGAATATACTGTGCTATGCACAGTGGGGGTCTGTACCAAGCATAGGTAGTGGGATAACGCCTTTGAGGGGCCAGTGCACTCCAGCTCAGGCAACCTAGCTTCTGTCTCTGTGTCCCTGTCTCTCCCTCTGGTTCTGGTAGGGCCTTGCACATGCTACGCAAGTGTCCTACACTGGCCTGTGTCCTCAGCATGAAACCCCATCTCTTGTGTGTGTGGGGAGACACTATGTTAGTATGAAAAAGAAACAAAACCCAAGCTCTTTAAAAAGATACAACTGAGCATTGATATGACTGTAATGTGGAGAGGACATGGTAAGAGGGCACATGGTGGACTTGGACTCAGGAGATCTGGGTCTAAATCCTGGCTCTGCCACTTACTACTATCTTGGGCAAGTCACTTACTCTCTTGTAGACTCAGTTTCCTCATTTGACAAATGGGACAGAGGTTCCAGCTATGCTCCTCAGGTTGGATGTGATACTCAAGTAAGAGAATGTTTGAGACATACATTGCATGAGTGTTAAACTTTTAAATCAAGCCCTCTTCCACCACTACCACCCCTGCAGTGGTATTTAAGTTCTTCCCAAGGATCTCACAGCACTTCTCTAGTGTTGTGTCAAGATTCTTCCCATCCCTACCCATACCCTGATGAGGTGAGATGATTGTTTTTCTTGATCTTGTTTCACATGAAGAAAAGCTGTGTCCTGGAACTGGCACATGCCCC